GTGTTCGGATGGCCTCTTATGTATGGGTCGACAAGTCTATTCCAAATAAAAACGACCACATGAGCACAAAACCGTATGACAACCTGATCGACAGAGGGCGTCTGAAGATTCTTTAAAATAAGGCATGATCGAGGAAAGCATTATTGTTTCTTTACTTTGTCTTGACACTTCATTTCATCAATAATTCGCCTAGCTTTATTTAAAGCTGGCAGGATGGTTGCATTAGGAACCTGGACGAATATTTGTCTAATTCCTTGATTTGCCAAAATAATGGTTTTCCTTTACCCTAGTTCTCAATATTGTGAAGTTTTTAACACTTAATCCTACAGGATTATTGTTCTTAACTAAGATTTTTCTTAGCCTTTCTAACTCCCGTTCTTGATGGTTTACGTTTGACAGACTTAAACTCCTCATTATCATTGATTTCATTACGTCCACCTAAATAACGTAAGTATGATTCAAGAAGAAATTTGGAAGAAAACCCTTATTTTTAGGTTTCCTATATACATCTCTAACCAGTTTGCTGACTTTATTAATAACTAAGACATCTAGAAAGGGTAGCTTACTGCCATCGGGCAGAACCAACTTACGAATCCCTTCCATTCGCCTCTTCAAACGAAATGAAAGGTACTCCAGCATGCATATTTCCGAATAGTTGGACGTTACTGACCGTCCCTGTATTTCGTACAATCAGTTCGGGTCATCAATAAAATTTGCAGAAATCTCTTGTCGATGCCATTTATGGGAATTCGGTCACCGTCTCGTTAGGTAACGTTAGACGACCCCTCTTTTCACATGTAATATTTACTGATAATTTCGTAAACTACTCACTTGATAGATAGTAGTTTCGTCCATTTGCGACAATAGTCCCACAATAAATTGTGAATTGGAATGGTCTGGATTACCTTGAAAGTCACTTCTGACCTGCGACTCACTGGCAGCCGTGTTTGTGCCTCACTTCCAAGACATTTTCAAAGTGGCCGCTCAAGGCTCTTCCGGTAGCCCTCTTGAAGAGCCAGCCCTCCGGATCTGTACGGCAAACCAGCAGGAAGAGAACGCCGTTTTTGCAGCGGCCGCCTCGTCGGGAGCCGGTCAGGAAAGCATAGTTCTATGCAACAATGGGCAGAGAGCCATCTCTCCTGACCCTGAAAAGCGATGATAATGAAAAGGTACCGTAACAACCTCTACATCCAAGGTGATACATGTTGTGAAAAAGAGGAAATGAAACTATCTTGGGCTGGACATTTTAGCATACACCAAAGAAGCGTGGCTCGAAACTGTCAACAGTTTTTGAACGAGAGCATGATCCACTTTCGCTCGTTTAGGATCACCACCTTCGAGAAGTCACAACCGTTCTAAACTTCAACGGCCAATTTCCACTATGACCCTCAAAGTATGGATCATCTAACCATGCATGTATTCATGTATATATGCATGTACGTATATATGAATGTGTGCATGTATGTATGCTTATATCCACGTATATTTGAATGCATATATGTGCATATCTATGCCTTCGTGTATGTCTGCTTGTATGCATGTATGTAGGAATGCATATCTTCCTGCATGTATGTCTGTATGAATGCGTGGTTGTTCGCTCGTATGCTTGTAGCTCAGCCCAAATTTGTTTTCCTATCTTTATGTTTTCATCTCTTCATATCTGCATGCATGAGCGGCCAGCTCTTTCAGTGCCTCCGTCCGCCTTATCATAACGCATAAATGCCTCCATTTTTGTCTGGAGCTGATGTCTACTCATCCCACACGAAATCCTTCTGATCCCGCCATCTCGACACCCTTAAGCGTGTCCTTCAACCCCCATCCAATCCCATCCCATCCCAT